TAGGGAGGGAGGGCGGGAGAGGAGGAGGAGCAGCCAAGCAGCAGCAGCAGGAGAAATATGAGGAGGAGGAGGAGAGGAGAGGAGGAGGGGGAGGGGAGGAAGAGGCGAGGAAGGAGGAGGAGGAGGAGGAGGAGGAGGGGGAGGGGAGGAACGAGGAGGAGGAGGAGGAGGAGGAGAAAGGAGGAGGAGGCGGAGGAGGCTGAGGCTTGAGGATGAGGCGAGATAGGGGAAGGAGGAAGAGGAGGAGGAGGAGGAGGAGGCAGGAGGAGGAGGAGGAGGAGGAGGGGAGGGGAGGAGGAGGGGAAGGGGGCGATGGCGAGGGGAGGAGGAGGAGGAGGAGGAGGAGGAGGAGGAGGAAGAGGAGGAGGAGGAGGAGGAGGAGGAGGAGGAGGGGGAGGAGGAGGAGGAGGAGAAGGAGGAGGAGGCTGAGGCTGAGGCTGAGGCTGAGGAGGAGGAAGAGGAGGAGGAGGAGGAGGAGGAGGAGGCGCGGCAATAGGAGGGCGTCCGAGTTACGAACGCACCCTACAAACAAGAAGGGGAAATGAGGCCAGGGGCCTCAGAAAGGTGCGAACAGCCACTTTAAAGTGTTCCGGCTACCTCATCCCCGGAAGAACGCATAGGAACAGTTATGACGCCACGGACGAATTCTGACCGTCGGTCACTTCTTGACCGGGCGGGTTGCCGGGGGCGGTCCTCGCCTCCCAGCGCCGCGTCCGCGGCCACGAGCGCGGCCACCCTCGCCAGCACCGCCGCGCCCCACGGCAAGCGGCGGCGGAGGCGGTGGCGGCGCGGCCGACGACGAGGACGACGTCGCCGCCGAGGCAGCAAGCGCACACGCACCAGCACCCGTCCCACCGCCCACCGCCTCCTGCAGAGGAAGGGGGAAACCTAACAAACGCCCGCTCCCTTCAGGAGCAAGCCCATCGTGAGACGAGGCCTTATCTCCAGAGCCGCTGGCTCCCGCATGCGAGCCACGGCCATCCAGGCCCAGAGGATCCCCAGTTCGCGGGTGCAGCCCACGAAGAGTGCGGGAGACCTGGGACCGCTCATTCGCCCTCGTCGAGGCGACTTTGGAGCGGCCCTTGCAGGCATCCAAGAGCTTCGGATTCCTGCCCTGGCCCACAATATAGGCCCCGCACTCGAGACAAATGATGGTGGGCCCGTGACTTCGGCCTCATGGCCACGGGCCCTGTAAAAGGCGACCTCCTCCTCCACCGCCGAACCATCAAGGGAGGGGGGAAGAGGTTGAGGGTCGATGCCAACCTCGTCGGCCGCTTGCATCGCGAGCGCGACGGCGGCCGACGTAGAGGGGCGGTACACATCAGGAGTGAGGGAGAAAAACCGTTCCGCCGCCCCCTTACTTGAATCACCACCCTGCTTGTTATGCAGGATGTGTGGTTATAAGAGGATAGCGGGGTGGTTAGCAGGATAGCTAACCAGGTTAGTAAGTAGGTTAGTGGCAGAGGTTGGGGGGGTTAGTAAGTAGGTTAGCTAACCTGGTTAGCAACTCGGCTAAACTGATTAGCTGGATCTGTTTTTTTGGATTTGGACTTCGATTTCGCGGATCCTGGACTGAGGTTCTGTGGATCCTCAACGAAGAATATAAACCTCATCCTCCTTATCCTCCTCCTCCTTCTCCTCCCTTTTCTTGTCACTGTCGGCCGACTGGCGTAAGCCACTTGAATATAAATAGTATCAGAAGCGATGGTTTGATTCTAAATATTCGAGATTCCCATCATCTTAAGCGTTTTTTTCAACATGCAATCGTTGGGATGGGTATCGGATGTTGTGAAACGCACCCGTGTACGTCGGCTCTTTCTTATATTGACTGCGGACCAACGTGGATGCTCAAGTCACTGCTCAGCTGCTCTGCCGTGGCGCCCCGCAAGTAAAACGGGCGCGAGCGTGCAGGATAGCGAACGCAAAAGAAGTTCCGACTTCGACGCCACCGCGCAATACTGAAACCCTGCGAGGTCGGTCGAGCCTCATCAAACAAGGAGGAGGAGGAGGAGGAGGAGGAGGAGGAGGAGGAGAGGGAGGAGGAGGAGGAGGAGGAGGAGGAGGAGGAGGAGGAGGAGGAGGACGAGGACGAGAACGACGACGACGAGAGGATGAGATGATGAGAGGGAGCACAGGGAGGGATGGGAGGGGAGAGGGAGGAGCAAGGGAGGAGTGGGGAAGACTTGGAGGAGGGTGAAACGGAGCAAATCTAGCATGCCAGCTGGGCCGAGCTCTCTAGTGTCTTACTCCTCCTGTACTCCTCGTCCTCATCCTCGTGGTCCTCCTCCTCCTCCTCCTCCTCCTCCTCATCATCATCATCATCATCATCATCATCATTGCCCTCCTCATCTACGCCCCCCCTCCCCCTCCCCCATTGGCTCAACTTATTTCGACGCTCGCTGCCTCAGCCTTTGGGCAAACAGCACAGTCGTGACATCACCAGTGTCCCTGACCCTAAAAACGCACGGCTCGATTATCTTCGAGGCCAGGACCAGCTGGG